CTGCTGCTGCAAACGAGGTCGCAAGACCGGCAATGCAAAAGTTGAAATGCATGCAGCTGCATGCAGAGGTTGCATGCATTGGAGGAGAAGTGTGCTGGGTGTTTCCCAGTCCTGCAACAAAAAGATATAACAACAATTTATGTTTTTATATTTAATATATAATTATGAAATATCACTCACATAAGTTAACACGGACTGCATGCGCATACTCTTCCACAGATGGCGGCGTAGCGCGGGCGCAGTAAGTTGAAGGGGAGGCTGCAGGGAGAGCCATCTCTGTGCTGCCTTTCTCGCTGCTTCGTGCTGCTGAGCAGCAGAGCAACATGGACCTGATACGGGAACTGTAAAGAACAGCCATCGAGGCAAGGTGTCGGCGTATGTCTGCAAATGGTACGTGAATGGACAGGACCACTGGACCACTTCTTTTTTCCTTTTCGTCAGCCGCAGCGGACAGAATGAAGGCTGCTTCCACTTCAGATACAGCTGCGGAGGAGGAGCAGGCACATCGTGTTTGTTGCAATGCAGAAAAAGAACAGACGAAGCTAGCTCTGGATGTGCGCGGCTGCGGTTGCAGGCTTTCTTTGATTCTTTTGAAGTGTTAGACAACAAATCAAGGGATAATTCCTTATCTGTGAACAAACGAGATGAAAAAAAATGCAACTTTCTCTGAGCTTCCACCGCCAAACGACCGAAATCCCCAGCGAAACAACGAAACGGAACAGCCGCCCAGTTATTAAAAGCCGTCAGGTCAGAGCGGTTCTCTCTTGAATCATTAAGAAAATAATATGAAAACATTATTTTCAGAATGTTTTAGCGAAAAAAAACGCGCAGATTCAGCATGAAACCACAAGTGAATGCAACAACCAGAGCATAGGTTACTGCACGAAACCTCTTGCGGTGTCTGCATGTACACCCGAATCCATTCATGAATTCCCAGGCGTTCGGCGGCTGGCAGCAGAAAGCGTTATTTTTTTTGAGATTTCCCCCGCCACGCAGCTTGTTTTAAAGTTTTTCTTTATTATATTCACATTTCTCACACTTTCAGGAGATGAAACTAACGAAAAACTAACAGAAAGACGCAAGATCCGCCCAGGCATAGCTCATCGGCGTAGGTGTTGAATCGGCAGTAGTATAAGCTGCAATTCAAGTTACGCATCAACTGCCGGAGGGGCCTGGTGAATTTCCTAATTTTAATCGATGAATATGAGTAAAATATGTTAATAATAACTAATTATATGAATATTAATTAATATTTATCTCGATATTTACACCAATCACGGGCAGTTCCCCTCTGCATTTTCAAAGCCCCAGCGGTGCTCGGCAGGATGCCAGCCCACCAGGGGGCTGAAGCGCCGCTTTTGCTGATTCCTTCTAGCGAGTTGTTACAATTGTGAGTATTTTTACGTTATTTGCATTCAACTTTATCTCTGTTTCCCCAGGACAAACCCACAGACACGTCAACAGCAAGCCACCCACTCACTCGATCCTACAGCGATTCACTCGCATGCATGCATGCATGCATTGTCAGCATATTGCTGGATGTATGGAGATTTTGTCTCTTTTGTAATTCTTTTGTAGCCACCTAGCAGCAGATGGCGGCTGTATAGACACCCCACACGGGGATCTATCCCGCCCTTTTCTTTATTTCTTATATTGGAAATGCAGAACGGCAAACAGCAGACGCGAGACGACTGCGTGACTCAGCTTTCAGATTGTGTTTTGGGGGCCACTGAACACCTGAACGCAGCAGCATCAACGTCAGCAGAAAGTCACTGCAGCAGCAGAACACACGGGGCCCCCTCCCCAGCATCAGCAGCAACAGCAGCAGCAGACAACGGGGCCCTTGCTGCTGGGGGGCCCCCCAGCAATCCTGAAACAACGAGAAGAGGTGAGCGTGGTGTTAATACCTCGTCTGAGAGCGCTTCTGCTGCTGCTGCTGCTGCTTCTTCTACTTCTGCTGCTGCAGGGGACGCAGCCCCAGTGCATGCAGCAACGCACCCTTTCATACATTCTCCTCTTCGTAGCAACACAGCTGAGGGTTTGGCTGTCTCTCGCCAGTTCTCGCGCATGCCGGGTCCGGACGTCTCCAAAGGCGATGGAGGAGGAGGAGCAGCAGCAGCAGCTGCACCCGCCGCAGCAGCAGCAGCAGCACCCGCAGCAGCAGCAGCAGCAGCAGCAGCAGGAGGAGCTCATGAGGGTTTTGTGCGTGGCTTATCATCTCGGCAAGAGAGTCGTCGTTTAGAGAGAGGTCTATCGAGTGCATCAGCAGGAGTAGGAGAAAGAGAAAAGCAGTTTATATCTCGGGGTGTACAGACTGTGTTTTCTTCTCCGCAGCAACAGCTGCCTATACACTGCAACCGCCACACCCCCCTCCGTGCCTTCGCTCATTTACCGCCCTTTGAAAGATTTGTTGTTCCTAAAGACAGCTTCTCAGAGAAATGGGGAAAACATAAACTCATCGGTACTTTTTTTTTTTTTTTTTGTTTTTGTTTTGTTTTTGTTTGGTTTTTTTTTGTTT